ACTCGAGGCGCTTTTGAGTCTCCATTGTCGTCTCCAGCACTATGAGGGCTGGCTACTATAGTTCGGCGCACCCAAAATCAGCGGTTCTTGTACACTCAAACCCATTGCGAGATTAATTCCAAGCGATAAGATTAGAGGGCGGCCAATTGACCCGAACTGAACTGAACCAAAGCGAAGTGAGTGAAGTGAAGTGAAGCAAAAGCAACAGAAACGCCCACGCCCACAAAAGACCCAGACACAGACACAGACTTTGGCCAAAACGGAGCCAGAAGTGGCTGTGGCAGCACATTCCTCCACCAAGCCAAGGCACTGTGGTCCGCAATGAGAAACTCACAATCGCTAAACAATGGGGCTCACGCATTGAACAATTGGTTCCGGTTCTTATTTGGCTATTCATATGGTTTTTAATCGTATTATCCTGACTCTTATGCGATTTTTCTTTGTTCAAATGTCTAAACTCAAAACTAACTTGTTATTATTATAATTATTATTTTAAATACTGTAAGGAAAGTGTGTCTTGGTAATATCTTTAACTAAAATTGCTTGTTAGGTAGCTTTTGAGATCATTTATCAGTACCGATCTCCGATCCCTAATGGTTTTCGTGTACCGAGAGTGACCGACAATGGCTTCCTTCCTGCGGGAATCGCGATCTGTCCGCACACTCCTCAGAGCCACTGTCCTGCCGATTGGCTTGAATTTGTTACCCATTTAAACACACACTCATGTGGCATGCATGGCACACACAAATAAGGAAGCAATTTGCTTCTCTCTTTCTTAGCTATGCAACGACTGCGACTTCGATTGGGACTTGAAGTGAGGAAACGAAGCGGGTCTCAAGTTCCAGCCAAGGTGGGCAAACTGTGAGCCAAGCTGTTCGCCGACAAATTGTGCGCCAACGCCAACGCAGGCCAAGCAGAATAATCAAAAAATCAGAAAATCAGAAAACTTAACAAAAAGGGTATAAAAAAACGGAGCCAAAATTCCGAGGCAATATTAAAATTGGCCAAGCTGAATTCGGGAAGCCAGAATTTCTGCAACTGGCGCAAATCGCCTTCAATCGTTTATTTACTTGTTTTTTTAGTTTTTTTTTTGTTTTTTTGTGGCTATGATTTTGCATTCCGAGCGACACCTCTGCGTTGATTGATTGACTGACGTGACTGACTCGACTGTAGATTCGCATTGCCCGATCCAGAGAGGAGGATCCATCAGCAGGCAGGCATCTTTCGCTGTCACATGTCAAGGACGATATACGATATGATACGACACTGTGGTGGTTGCCGCAGAATAACTGCATAAATTTGCATAACGAGAAATGCTCGAACAATTGCAAATCATTGGAGATCGAGATCGCGGTAGTTTCTGTGTGAGACTCCACGCTGTGGAGAGTGCGAAACTCAGAGGTGCGGCTCGCGGGTCACACACTACAGACACTCGGAAAATTAACCTTACTCCATCTCCTTCAAATATTTTAAATAATTTAATTATTTGTTAATTTTTTATAGGAATAAATAATGTTTGAAAAGGAGTTTAAATTTAAAAAAAATATATATTTTTTACTACCTTACTTTTTTTGTTTCACTACACAGAACGCAAGCCGCTTACAACCCCATGACTCATGTTTATGAGCAAGGAGCACTGAGCACTTGAGGACAAGTATTTTCGTGGAGTGCACACCACCACCAACAACAACAACAACAACAACAACAACTGCTGCTTGTTGCATGTTGCCAGAGTTGTTGTCGGTCGCTCTTCATATTTCAGCGGCGCAACTCTGTCGCCATCCAATCGTCCGTCGTGTTTTGCCAGCCGCTATCGCGATTTATAACAAAATGCTGCTGAATAGCTTTTGCATTTTGGTTTTTTTTTTTTGTTACTTTATGTATTTATTATACCCTTGCAGGGTATTATAATTCAAGTCAGAAGTTTGCAACGACCCTATAAAGTAGATATATTTTACTACTAGTCCCTCTGGTTTGACACTATGTTAATTCAGCTTTGATCTCAGTATAAGATTTAAAAATAATGTTTTTTTGAAATTTTGTCAAACCATTTAACTATATTTAATATATCTTCTTTTAGATTATTTATATATTTGACCAAAATGAATCGATTTTTAATGATCCAATTATAAACGGCAAGGGTAAACTAGCTTCGGTGTGTCTTTAAAGATTTGTGTATACTGGCTACTTTGTTTGCATTTCAATGTCTTCGGGGAGGCTTTGCTTAAATATTTCCCATTTTATTACCAGTCGCAAAATGTTAATGTTTAATTAGCTCATTAGGAAAGACACAAAACCCAAGTCGCATCCGATCATCTTTTTGGCAACATAAAGCCTAATGAACTTCCGTTTTGTCTTGGCCAGGTCAAGTGTAAAAGGGGTCTGGGAAAACAATACAACCCAAAACAAAAAAAAGCACTTTGAAGTAAAACTGTTTATCAAGACGTTATTTTATTACTTTTATTATAAATTAATTTTATTAATTTATTTAAAAATTAATTTTTGTTAATTTTTTTATAAATTAATTTTATTATTTTTTTTATAAATTAATTTTTGTTAATTTTTTTATAAATTAATTTTATTAATTTATTTAAAAATTAATTTTATTAATTTTTTTATAAATTAATTTTATTATTTTTTTTATAAATTAATTCTTGTTAATTTTTTTATAAATTAATTTTATTAATTTTTTTTTTTGCAAAGCAAAGGTTTTAAAATGTTTTAAGCCAAATATCAATAATTTGAATTTGAAAAAATTTTCCCTGTTAATTATTTTTTTAAATTAATAAATCTGCATTAGAATTTTAATCATAAAATTATTTTTATTTTATGCTCTAAAGAGGACTCGAAATATTAGCATTATTTTAATCAAAATGTATAAATATATTTAAAAATACTTTTATTTTTCAATTTAAAGGGTACAATTCGTTAAGCTTAATGCCATTTCATTTAAGTCCCAAAGTTAATGAAGATGATTTTGGAAATCAATCGAAACTGTGGCAAACTCTAGACAGATCTAGTTCCAGTCTCCCTCTCGTATCGGATCGGATCGAACTGCTGATTGCCTTTAGTTACCCCATAATCAAGTTATTCGATTCGTGCTCATGTCTGCCCGTATCTCTTCATCTAAATCAAGTGGCAAACATTTGACATTGTCTGCATCTGATTCGCATTCGGATTCGGATTCGGATTCGGATTCCATTTGATTGCCAGAACAGAACGTAGAGCTAGAGCTGAGGCCTCTCAGCCGTAAACAATTTGCATTTAGTGCCCACCTGATGATGGTCATAAAGGTATTGGCGGTGCAAATGGCGGCAAATGGTAGCAATTAACAGGTATTTTTAGCTTTGCCCACGCATGAAGCACTTGGTGCAGCAGGCGTTGATCTCGAGATGCCTCCAAATTGAATATCATAATCAAGTTCTTTGGCTCAAGTGCCATTACCCTATGCAGTCTTCAGTCTCCTCCAAAATGGTCTTCTGTCTACAGAGTTGGCAGTGTTTGTTGTTTTAATTAACGAGCAAGCCTCAAAATTCATTGCTTTCAAAGCCATTCACTGCACCCACCAAAGAAATACCGTTCATCTCATATCAAAATGTTTAATTTAGAGATGTTATTGTTTAATAATTAAATCTTTTAAAAATCTGCATACTTTATTTGAACCTTTAAAATATTCAATTTGATTTTTTTTATTTATATAAAATTCTAAAAAAATTAAAAAACATTTTTTTAAATAAAATAATAAATAATAAAATGTTATAAAATTAAAAAAAAAATTCTCAAAATGTTATTGTTTAAAATTTAAATCTTTAAAAAATCTGCATACTTTATTTGAACCTTCAAAATATTCAATTTGTTTTTTTTATTTATATAAAATTCTAAAAAAATTAAAAAAACATTTTTTTTTAATAAAATAATAAATAATAAAATGTTATACAATTAAAAAAAATTCTCAAAATGTTATTGTTTAATAATTAAATCTTTAAAAAATCTGCATACTTTATTTGAACCTTTAAAATATTCAATTTGATTTTTTTTATTTATATAAAATTCTAAAAAAATTAAAAAACATTTTTTTTAAATAAAATAATAAATAATAAAATGTTATACAATTAAAAAAAATTCTCAAAAAATAATAATGGCATTTGTTTAATCCAAAACTCTAAACATTTTCGATTGAAATTTTCTAAAATACAAGAGTCGCTCTTTGATCCATTACCACACATGTTTTTTTGTTTGTTTTCTTTTTTACCTTCTGTTGCTGATGGGGCTGATCTGGTTAAGCACTTTGGCTTGGATTTCATCTGTCTCTAATCAGGAGGTCTCGGTCTCGGTCTCCGGCGATCTGCGCCAGAGATAGAGGTTTTCAGCGCGGCTGCTGCTCCAAATGCTCAATGCGGTTGCCGGCTGCAGCTTGTTTATTAGCCCCAAATGCGATCGCCGAGTTTAGTGTTCAGTGTTCAGTGTTCAGTGCTTGCCGCTGTTTGCTTGGTATTCGTTTTGGATAATTATTTATTAAGGTTTTACATAACGCAGCCATCTGTCTGTCCCTGTCCCTGTCCCAGAAAAAACAAACTGTGCTTAAAAAAACTCAAGGCTGTTCTTGCATCGACAGCAAAGCGAAACCATATGAATAGAGCTGCAGATACACAGCGGAAAAAAGCAGGGTATTTGCACTCCTAAAAGCTCAACACTTTTTAGGTAACAGAATGGGAAAGTGTTGATGTTCTGCCAGCTAATGAAGAGATAGATATCTGTGCGAACATCGAACTGATCTCGTCCCTGAACTGCGATCCGTTCAGATGCTAGATTTTGAGAGTCAACTGACTGCCATTAGAGTCAACTGAGCATTAACATCTTTATATATAAAACGATTGGCAGTACGAGTACTTTATAGGCTTGTAAGTTGCTAACTAGGACCTTGCTTCATAAGCAATAGTTAAATCCAATCCAAACCTGTAACTTGCATTGCACACAAAGTAAAAGAAATGCTCACCACCTGGCTTGATATCTAAATTTAATTATTTACTGTAATGATCCAGAGTATTTGCTACCGTGGTGAAGGGCTATGCTCTAGCAGAGCATTCAATTCGGATGGTTAACGGGTTGGCTTCATTCTGGTTCCTTTTCGGATCAAGAGTCCCCTGGTCACCTCATCTCAGGCGAACCGCATGCACTTGGACTTCTGGGTGTAGGTGACCGCTCCATACTCCTCGACGATCTGGTCAATGGCAATCTTGTTGAGATTCTCCAGATAGAGACGCGTCTTCCTCGACTGAAGGATATAGCTGATGACATCGTGCAGGGCTTCCATGAAGAGGAAGCCGGCAGTGCCGCAGCTAAGGTCCAAGTATCGGAATCGATTCACATCGCAGGTGCAGCCATCATACAAGAAGTATATAAAGTCATTGTTGTTATGGTAGCGGAACACCACATAGTTGCCCCATGGAGCCATCACAAAGACACGCTCCGCGCACCGGAAGCCGGCCCTGAGAAGCTTGCAGATGCTATCGTAGCACCCGTTCTCCGATCCCACCACCGCCATTGTCTCAGGTATGCGTAGCAGGGCCGGATAGTGGTTCGGCTGGGCACGGTGCACATCGTGCGGCCCGGCGGACTCTGGGCAAGCGTCCAGCGGCTGCATTTGCTTCGGCAGCTCTGGACATGGCGGACACGGTGGGGGTTCCACCGGTGCCACAACCACAGGCTTCTTACCCTTTTTGCCCTTTTTACCTTTTCCCTTGCCCTTCTTACCCATGGCGACTAGGAGGTTACTGGAGCTGGGATCTGCCTGAGAGGACTAGACCGAATTCAAGCGACAAACGCGGAGACACTCGAAGGAAAATGGTTTCGTTTTTTAATTTGGACCCAAAAGAAAATTTTGTTAGGGAACGAAATCGAATCAGTGAAATTTTGTTAGGATTTCTGGTAGCATTTTTTCCAATTTCTCTGGTGTGTCTTTGTTCACAGACGACGAATTTACTTCTGATTTTTAGGCCCTGTGACTGGATACAGGCTAGCCAACATACTGACAGTTTTGTCGAAGTTACTTGATTTTGAAAAACTGGCTAACTCAAAAGTATTTTGTTTATTCCAAATAGCAGGCGGGAAGAAAGTAATACTGCTACCAAATGACCCAGAGAATAGGTAGGTGCCTTCAGATGTGCATTTTTGAAAAAGTCTCCTTACTCAAAATTTGAGAGTGAGTAGCAGCTTCTGGCACTTCTATCATTTCCCCAGCTTAATAATTAATTATTATTTATAAATTACTAATTTTATATTATATAATTTATACGAATTCTTTGACCCTTAAGTCAAATGTGTACGTGCTGTCATCTGTTTGCTCACTTGGAGTTTTGAAAATTCAATTAGAATTCCAACAAGCCGCGAGTCTCGGCTCTGTCCGCCCCCCAACGTTGCCATCCGTCCACCTGGCCATCCATCCATCTCCCCGTTTGCGTATCCATCTATCCATCTAAGTGTCTGTCTGAAGCGCCGTTCTCCGTCAGACAAATGCAAACTAAGCAATTGCCCGCGGCCAGCACAAGGCAGCTTAATTAAGCAGAGTGTTTGCCAAGGAGAGTCGAACAGTCACAAACATTCTTGGGCAATCGCCGGGTGGGAAGTGCGATTGCAAAAGGATCCTCAGCCACGAACACAGGCACAGGCACAGGCACAGGTCGCACAGATCCAAAAGTGAATGGCGGTCAGAGCAATTAAAAGTGTGTGCCCACTGTTCAATTGGAACCCTTGATACCAAGATACCAAGTCTCGTGGAAATATAGAAATATTTAAACACCAGAACCTGTTGTAGCCAGCTATCCAGGTTCAGGCACAGTGGATAGCAATTCGTAGGGGACTAAGTTTGTGTTACAAATACAAAACAAACTCTATTCTGGTGGGGATTTCTGCATCGTGCTTCGTGGCTTTCGGCCACTGTGCAATTGGCATGATCACATGCAAATATATTAGGTTCCAGTTCCCCCTGGAGATCGTCGAGTAAGCCACAAATGACGCTCGACAGGCTGATTTTGGTGTGTGCCAATTCAAAGAATTAATATCCATAGTAACTCCTTGCTAAAAATAATAATTTAATTTACAGCTAGTGTAGACTCTTTGCATTTCCGTGAAATTCAGGCTTCAATCGATGATGATGATGATTTAGTCTGTGAATTTTTGCCTGGTATTCGGCGGAGAGCTGCCCACATGGCTTGCGATGATGACACCCGCAATGGCAATTGGAATCCCAACCCCTTTCAGCTCCAACTCCAGCTAGGCTAGGTGGGTTCACTGGTGATCCAACGGATCCAGGGGGGGGGGCATACTTCTACTAGTATTATTGCTTCATCGGCGAAACTATCGGCTAATGGGGCAACTTGGGGCAACTTGGGGCAACCTGTCTCGATGGCAACGTGAGTCGGCAGTCGCCTCCCGTGTGGATGTTCCGTGGGTGCTCATCGCAGCGATTATATAATCGGTGGCCAATAATATCTGCAGTGTGGGAGGGAGCAAACACTTTACAAAACAACAACTGCTGGTAATTAGCTGTGATTTTAAACTAAAAACTTATTCAAAAAATTCGTTGACCACAAAAATTTCTTATTGAAAAACGATTTTTATGCTAAATAATTCTTAAAAATATCAGAATTTTCCATTAAAATTCTAAAATATTGACCAATTAAACCATTTCCTAATAGGTATTCAGATTTAAGAAACCTACCTGGCAGATAAATATAACTCTTTTTAACTTAAAAGGCTTTTTTTTGTAGCAGATCATGGCTTTAAGTTTCCCTGAAAGCCATGTTTTCTACACGATTTCAGCTAACAAAGCTCTGGCCTTTTGAGCCCAGCCAGAAACCAAACTCAAAGCTTTTAAAGCTATATTAAAAAGCAGAAGCTTGCGCTGGATAAGTTTATGCTGAATGAGTTTTACGAAGGGGAAATGCCGCACCATTTATGTGGGAAAACCGAAGTGTGTGTGTGAGGGGAGGTACTCCCAAGTACACCCACTCTGCGCACTTTCTGCTCTGTGCCCGCTTTTGGCCCTGCCTTTGTTGCATTTCAAGTCGAAAAAAAAAACTGATATATTCGAACTGCAATACGGCGACAGTAGGCTATGGATAGTGCAACGAACTTGTGACGACGCCAGCGAGTCTGGGCCAAGCCAAAAATTAGGACGAGGACCAGGCCAAGTTGCTCGGTCTGGGAAAATACAAAAATATAAAGCAAAAACAAGGCATCAGGAAAAAACCAGCGGAAAAACCAGCGAGGCGAACTCCCTGGCGCCAACATTTTTATTGCAACTCTCTAGTGGCCCTGGGCAGGTGGCCAACGATAATGGGTACTGGGTGACCTGGTACTGGCACCTCTCTGGCAAAAATAAACCAAAAATGCAAAGCCAAACACAGAGTTTCCAGTTACCCGAGTTCCAAGTGTTCCCGCGGCAGCCAAAAGGTTGAAGTTCCTTCAAGTGGGGCGGCAGCTTAATCCCAAATTGTATCTTTAAGGCGGGCTTGCCGTTGCTGTTTTATGAGTTTCCTGCTCAATGGCGTTGCACGTGCTGGACCTTTTCCTTTGTCTCTGCTCTTTTCGAAGTCCCTCCGACGACGACGACCCACACTCAAAATTAAACTCAAACCCTGACCCATTATCAGCGTGTGTGCGTGTGTGCGTGCGGGCGTGATTATCCTTATATATTTTTAAGGGTGTCCTGGTCTCGGGGTCACCTTTAAGTCGGCAAAAATCACTTTGAAATACAATTACTTTCAATTAACAATGTAATGAAGCGCAATCGGCAAATCCGCCCATGGGTATTGAAAACTTTTGTAAATATCGCTTGAGGTAAACTTTTTTGTTTTTTGTCTGCTGGCTTATGTATGGATTTAAACTTCGATGTGTGTATGACAGGGGAAATCCCCCTTGCAAGTGTCTTCATTAATAAGCAGTGTGGGATTAGTCAAGTCGCCCCATGCCCCATGTTTAACCCAAGAGTCTGGACACGAATCTCGACTACCAAAAATCACTTTTAATTGAAATTAAATCGGCAACGAGGTGTGTGAATCCAAATACTACAAACTAATAGTTTGGAAAATCCGAAATTAGCTCAATTGAGGCCACAAAAGTCACCCAATTTCATCCATTGCCAATTGCCCCAAGTCTAGTCTGTCTTCTAGTTAATTGCGCACTTTATGTCGCTGACGTTGAGTTAAATTGTCCATGGAAAATGCCCTTTTAAATTTCAATTGTGTTTGGTATTCTCAAATCGTTTGTGACATCAGCATGAAATTGTTTTCCGAAGATGGATTTCTTGGCTTAATAAATATGACACTCGAAAATGAAAGCCCCTCCTCCATCCTCTACTCCCACCGCGTCGGATCTAAATGTAAATGATAAAAGATGCCAAATTGCCAGGGTTTTTGTGGCGGGTAAAAAAGGAGGAACTTCCTTTGGCGGATGATTGGAAATTCAATGTGTCTCTCCCTTTCGCTTTTTTTTCAGCATTTTTGGCCTGTGTTTGTTTGGCTGCGTGCAATTTCCCCGTTTACTTTGAGGCGCAAGGAATATGCAAACACATACACATAAGTAGGCCTACAAAGGACCTCCGCACACTCGAAAAAAATTCGCATGGAGCGCTGTGCAAACATATCAATGCAAATCATCGCAGGAGGGAGAGAGGACGCCAAATACTAAAATTGAGGCTGCTTCGTTGCCTTAAGCTGAGGAGCGAAAGGAGCGAAAGCCAAATCCCGTATCACTTGGCCACCTCGGCAGCACTCTCTTATGCATACCGAGAGGAAAGCCCCGGAAAACCCCCCAAAAAAAAGGGGCGTAGGTTCCCCGACTGCTAGACTGGCGGGGCTTATCAGCTGGCCAGAGTACAAGGACTTCTTTAAGGGTATATTATGATTTTACTGAGAGAAGGAGTCGTTTCCGACCCTATAAATCATATATATATTCTTGATCAGCTTCAAAAACCGAATCGATTTAGGCATGTTTGCAAGAAACAAAATTTTAAAAAATTTTTCAACACATTTTAAGGGATTAAAAATCAAATTATCCAACAAAAAAAAAATTGAGAAAAAATTCGATATCATAAAATTTTAAATTCAGTATGTAGATTTGTTAACCCAGAAAAAACGAGAACAGAAAAGCAATTAGAATTGAATTTAATGATTTTTTGGCTTAGTTATGATATTTATACCCTTGCAGGGTATTCTAATTTTAACCCGAAGTTGGCAACTCAGTGAAGGAGTCAAAACGATCGGAAAATTTTATAAATTAATTATTTAAGGTTTTTGATTTCGATTTGTGTTCATTTCTCCGTAAAATATAACTTGTAAACAAAACAAATAAAATAGAAAATAATAATAAAAGGTAATAAATTAAATAAGTAAATATATAAAAAACGTAAATAAATAACATACATATACCCCTAAATGCCCCGATGATACCCTCTACACTATGCAGAGCGTCACAACATTCATCAGCCGAAGAAAGAGGAACGTAAACTGCGGATGGCGAAAAAGGACGAAAAAGACTATTTGGCCGGGAAACACATAGGCGTTAGACACGCCCACCTCGAGTGCGGCCTGTTTACGTAGTGTAGCTCCAAGGTGTGTCTGTCTGTCTGTCATTGTGTGTGTGTGTGTGGGGAGTGCGTACAAACAATCCATTTCCTCCAGCAATTGAGGGGGGGAATGAGGCTCTTATTTGGCCGAGCTGCAAGCAGAATGCTGGGCCGGGCCGGGAGGATACAGGGTAAGCACCACCAAGAGCACAAGTGTCCCCCCTCCCGTCTGGAGCCCATTGGGCAGGCACAGTGAGGCGAAGGCACCATTGAGTGTGCACGATTTACCTGAAACGGCTGCGGTTGCTGTAATAGCACTGAAGCTTCGAGTTAGTGCATAAATCGGATAAATGCGAGTGTTCTTGCTCTTTATGTGCCAAAAAACCAGAATGTGGGTTAATTACAAAGTGTCCTCAAGGGGATGGGTAACCTTCATGTGGCATGCGACAAGCAAGGAACATCCTAAGACTGAAT